TCTTCATACCACATTCATTTCATTCCTACTTCTGTTTTGTTGAGGTTCATTCTGATGTTGAAACGGTAACTTGCACCTGAATATTAAGTTGACAGGAAGGTGCTTTCCCCTTTTGTGTCTTTGATTTGCAGTTTGGGTTCTGCCAGAGCAGTGAACCGACGTTACATCAGTGATTGCGTGCCCCTTAGAATCCGGATGCAGGCGTCAGCAGGATTTGTCAGTGCTAGCGCTCTTGGAATGGCATGTGGTCCTGCACTTGCTGGGTTACTCCAAACTAATTTTAAGATTTACAAGTTGACCTTCAATCAAGATACTTTGCCTGGTTGGCTCATGGCTTTTGCATGGTTAATCTATTTGATATGGCTGTGGATCTCATTTAGAGAACCTGCTAATGAGACAGAAGTGAACAATGGTCCTCAAGAATCTAATAGTGGTACGTTGAACTTTTTGTTGCATGGTATGGGTATATAGCATTAATTAGCACATGTCCACTCTCCTTTTCCCTCCATGCTCTATGCTTCAACTGGACAGGTATCAGTTAAACTCCAAACATGGTGCAAAACGTTTACAGCAATGCCATTATTGAAATAGCTTCCTTGTAGGTTATGGTGAGATGAAGTGTACAAATATATAATGCTCTTGGGATGGGTTAATGTCGTCCAGGTTGAATGAATATCTATCTGAAAATCCTGTTGCATTGATAATCACTTGTCGAGGTGCTAAATTCATTGTCTTTTTATTGTGTCATTAGCTTGTGGCTGCATGGACCCAGCCAATAAGACCACTTTTTGAGCCCAACTTTTCTATTTGTGTAGACCTCACATTGTTATTTAGCCACGTACATCAAAGTTTTTTAACTGTTGTAGCTTGATAAACCACAAATCGGATGAGAGTAGATTGTGTCTTTTACGCAATGCTGAGTGAGGGAAATGCAGAGTATAAATTAGTCCACTTGAGAATTAGAAAAAAGATTGAAAAACTATTTCTTTTGATACCGTATTATGTTCAGAATGATTAACGAATGGATAATAGTAGAAGTTCTATTACATAAGTAGACATTGTCTTTAACATTTACAAATACCATATTTACTGCAAGAACATCCAAAAATAATACAATAAGATTGAATCAGAGACATAGGGGTACGACGTAGTTATATGTACTTCTCCAACTTCTGTTTTGAAGTCCCAAAGTGGGAAATGAGAAATTCCGCACTCAACTCTTTAATGGAACCTTGCGCAAATGCTCTTTAGTGTATATTAAGGTGCACTAACTTATACTTTTATGTGTAATAGTTTAACACTGAATGGAAATTAAGAAGCTCATTTGACTTACTAAATTTCTATCATCGAAAAGAATGCTGAACTAGAAATTGGGAGTACGTGAATGAAGTTGGTGTAACAAGAAACATCATATTATGATTTTAAAACTTATAGATGTGTTTTATTCTTTGTGCAAGTGCATCACATTATTTTAAACCACCCAGAAGAAAAAGTTCTATGTCATACAAAATGGAAGAGGTGGAGTGTTTATCTAAATACAGTCTGATGCTGATCCTTTTCTTTTATACCAGTAGAAAATGATGCCCTTGAGAAGGGCGTTACGCAACCGTTGCTCTTAAAAGCGGAAGAGAATCAACAAGATGATGAGAATGACCAAGAATATGATGGGAGTGAAGAAGCTCCTGAGGAGTCTCGTAAGCCGGCGAACTCTATAGCAGAAGCATACAGATTACTTACTCCTTCTGTGAAGGTAAGTTGTCAACTCTGACCTTGTTGTTTGTATTATCAACATGTGAGTAGAGTCTATTGAGAAATGGGTCAATGATATTACTCGCATCCATGCTTAATGGCTATTTGTTCCGTGGAAGTCCAGCCATGGTGTGTGTTTCCTACACCTTGTTTCCTTATGTTGCTTGGACTTCGAAATTCTTCCTCTCATTAACGAGATGGATAATGACGTCAAAGAAAAAGGACAGGGTGAGGAGGACATGAACTGTTGCTGATCATAATATTCCTATAATATTGGTGGAGGTTAATAATGGTGGTTTGCTTATTGAAAGTAATGGTGTAGTACATAAGTACCTTACTAGAAATCAACACACAACTAATGAGGATCAGTGTCTTGATACTCCAAGTAATTTCCATCAAAATCAGAGCTTTGCAAGTAGTTAAGCATCTGTTGGCATTGGTGACCTAATAAGCCAGAGGTCCTACTACTATTATCTCATTATGCATGTACATTTCCACTTCGTATTAACATACTGCTTAGAAGCAATTCCTTTAATGGGAATTCATGTTGTTGGAGGGATGTGTACAGTATAAATCAAAGCACATAAATTTGTGCTCTTTTGGTGCTGCTGGGGTCAGGTACAGATGTGGAAGTGCAGATAACTTTATGTCTAATTGGGCATTGCCTTCTCACAGTACTCAAGAGAAAAAGAAACAAAGCAAAGGAGAGGAAAAATGAAAGATGGATCACTCTCTGTATGCATATGAAAAAAAGAAGCATAATATAACTTGATTATGCTTTAAGAAAGATTTATATTTAAATGGCCAGTGACACGACTCTTTCATCTTTCCAGGTTCAATTACTAATCTACTTTATGCTGAAATATGCAATGGAGATTTTACTTTCAGAATCCAGTGTCGTTACGTCATATTACTTTGGATGGTCAACGGGAACCGTGGCAATTTTTCTTGCGTGTCTTGGCCTCACGGTACTTCCGATAAATGTTGTTGTTGGGAGCTACATAAGTAACATGTTCGAAGACAGGTATCTTCTTTTGCACAAGAACATGCTTTGGATGCTTACTTTTTGGACAGGGAGCTAAATTTTCTAAAGTTTTCCTGTATATGAAGTTTTGTTGCTCATATTGATGGATATTACAATGAGTAATAGAATAACTTTCCTTCACTTGCATAAGGAGGCTGTGAGTCTGTAGTATTTACTATTATCAGAGGGATTCGTAAGTGCATTAGTTTCTCTTTTGGCCTTCATGTTTACTAGTGCATTGAATTCCTTGTGCTCTGTATGCTCATGCACAGATAGCTATTTGTTGTGGCTCTGCTTCTAAACTTCATGTCTTCTGCTAATCAATCCATGTATAATGCTGTGCTACTAAAACTTCGATTCAGTTCTTGAAAATTGATGCATCTAATTACCAAAAAGCAGAATAATCAATTCAAGATCAAGCATGTGATAATTCGCTACTATCGTGTTGAACCTTTGCTATCAGAATTTGATGATAGATTTCTTCTGTTTTCAGGCAAATTTTGTTGGCATCTGAAATCATGGTTTTTCTTGGTATACTTGGGAGCTTTCAAGTTGTAATCTCATATTCTGTTCCACAATATGTTATTTCCGGGCTCATAATGTTTGTAGCTGCTGAAGTATTAGAAGGTAAGACCTCTCTGTCCCATTCTTTTTTCCCCTTTAAGAAACTTACTTCTCATCTGAACCTATCAATATGATAAAGCAATAGGTTAGTAGCTCTGCTCAAGCGAAGAAAAATTCAGGCAAAAGGAAATACTGTAGGTTCCAAATAGCCAGCTTTGCATGGTACCGATTTAGCATTATATGACAGCTGCGGTGAGGGGCACCATGCCCATATCTAACGCATATATCTGTGGTCGAAGATGTTTTAGACCATAGATGGATGGTATGTTGCATCCGGGGTGGTTAATGGTAGAGTGGCCTCTTAATATTCTAGGTTCTCTCAATATTTGTATCAGTAGCTTTCCTTTTCCCTTCTACGTGAACTAATTCAAAGATGATGTTTTTAAACTCACTTGACATGCTTATCTACATGTCACAAACTAAAGTCCATGATTTCAGAAACTAGGTTTACCGCAGCATATCTTGGATAAATGGATCCGTTACTGAGTGACGTATGGCTGTTTATATTTGCTTACTCCTAAAAAGAATGTACTCCTAGAAAATTGTTTTTTGAGGTCTCTTTTTGGCCGTGGGGGCTCTTTTAAAGTAGGTTAAGACCACATTTCTTATAATAGAAAGAGGACTATCAAGTGGAAGTGACAGACACACAGGGAGTAATTGATGGAAAAAAAGGTGCTGGTCACCTTTCATGATGTGATCCTGTGGTGATAAGCCTAATCCTGCTGAATATAGCTTTCTTAACCAGTCTCGAATTGGTTAAGCCGAAGTCTTTAGCATAATAAACTTGGACAGATACTAATCTTGTGGATGATAACTGTGTTCTTTATTTATTTTGTTTTTTTGGTTGCTTCTTTTACTGCTTGCATTCTAAATCACTCTATGACTTCGCTGATGAATATAGGTGTGAATTTATCACTCCTCTCTCGAGTCATGTCATCCAGGCTTTCTCGTGGAACCTACAATGGGGGTCTCTTGTCAACAGAAGCTGGCACAATTGCTCGGGTGATTGCAGATGCAACCATAACTCTTGCTGGGTATTTGGGACAGAGTAGGCTCTTGAATGTTACTCTTCTTCCTTCCCTTTTGATTTGTGTAGCTTCCATTGTTGCAACCTGTTACACCTACAATTCTCTTTACTGAGCAGTCTTCTGTATTTTGAAAACATTCTCGACTGCAGAAGCATCATTGCCCTCAATTCTTTTCAGGCCTCCTCCCTTTCTGGTTTAATAATTGATTTTGTTTTCTTTAGGTACTTTTGTTTTGCCCCATGTGTAATATTGCTGTAAATTTTCGGTTAGTAATTAGTTCATTGATTTCTTTATCTTAATTGGGTTCTTATTGTTTAATGTCTGCTGTTTGTCCTGTATGGAAATTGCGTGCTTAGAAACTGCTACTCTGCCCTATAGGTATTTGCTGTTTGGTTGTTCTAATAATGTTGTCAGCGTAATTGTGATTAGGTTACAATTAGTCACTGGTGTTTCAACCACCGATTATTTTGTACAAATCAGCCATATCATGGTACAAATCAGTCACTGGTGTTTCAACCACCGATTATTTTGTCGTGCAACCATTCCTTCCAATATAGTTATAAACTTATGTATACTTATTAGTGTAGTTTTATTGGTTGTAATCGGTCACTTAACTATTAGTGTACTTAGTTTTACTGGTTGTAACTGGTCAGTGGTCACCTACTATTTTTTGTGGGTTCTAATCCATGCCCGTCATAGGAAATGAGTCGTTTTTAATATTGTCGGTACATAAAAGTTAAACTTTTCTAATGTTTGCACTGACGTTTATGAATTCACGAACTGTCGTACCGTATGTGAAATTACTGAGCGAGTTGAAGAAGTTCGACTTCAGTTTGGTTATTACCACCAAAGGAGCACTGGGGTAGGCTTGGAATTTGGATAATAATATAATATATTAAGTTTCGTCATTCCTTTTAGAGCAAGTAGGATAAAGTTTCACCGCCATTAATATTGCTCATGATCAGAACTTGCAATTACGTACCACCTCCGCCTGGCTCACCCACTTAATTTCAACAGTCAATCTGCCAACTAATTGTCATTAGCTGCTCACTGACTCTTGTGTCATTAATTTTGTCCACAAATTTTAAATTGTCTCACACAAACTGACAATATTAGCTAGGAAAAGCATAACCAAAGTATGACGATCTTGGCCTTGGAAAAGGGTACATTGTACTACTTTCGACTTCCTACTTTCTTAGAAGTAGGAGTAGAAACTATCGCGGGGGTCTCATTTGTTTAAATGCATCTTTAATTGCTACTTGAACTCGTCATATTATGAGTTGTCTAATATTTATCCAATAATATTTATATTTCGTGCGTCGATAATTAGTTTGTTTCAGGATCTTAGTTTAGAAGTCAAATAGTGGATTAGCTATTTGGTCCTTGTTCCAGCCCTTCATTTTTCTGTGGTCAATTTTGGTCATACTTGTCTGATTCTATGGCTCTACACCTTATTGGTTGGCAGTTGAGTTGTACTAGCTAGTGACAAAGGAAATTAGACTACCAGGAATTTTGATGACTTATTTAGATTGTCCTTTTTCAAATTGGGACCCCTGAAAAGAATAGGAGATGGAAGAAGCTAAGTAAAGAACTACTCACTGCCAACAAATTATTGCATTAAATATAATGAAAAGCGGTTGGTTGAAACACAAAAATAAGAACAATACTTGGTAAATGCAGTGACCTCAAACTCAAGAGTTTAACGTTGTTGGGGGAGGAGTCCACTGGAAAAATAGTGGTAAGTTTTATTCCTCTCATTAACTCCAGCTACTCAAAATATGAATACAAGAAATGATACGTGAAATGAATTATTATGAATACACATAGATTCTCGTACAAGAAAATATGAACTTGAAGTTCAAGTGATGATTAATTTATAAATTATTGCCAGACGCATTTGCTGACCCAAAGCTAAATGTCATATTTCAGCTATTAATGCTCCAAATAGAATAAAGTCCATGAGGGACAGAGTCTATGACACGCATGAAGCGTAACAGACCAATCGGTTCAAAAGATAAAACTCCTTGAAGAAGGAGACGGGCAAAATGGTCNTTATTTTCTAGTCTATAAATTTCAAGGCATCTTGTACAATATACCTATTAGATTGCTGGCATGTACCACTTTTTGACAAGGAAAGGTGAATTTACACCATACATATGGCAGTGAAGTGTATGGTTTAGTGGTCAATAAAGTGGTTGAAAATCATAAAATCTCAGATTCAAATTTTAGCGGAGGCAAAAATATTTGGTGATTTCGTCTCATATGTCCAAGCCTTGAAGGGCGGAGTTAGTTAATACATGTGCTGGAAGGAGATAACATGTATTCTGTAAAATTAGTCGAGTTATCTATAAGCAGCCCAACACCACGGTTATAAAAAAAATATTACACCTATTATATGTACCAAATTAGTATTGTCATTTTTGCATAAACTTTTATCGTTTAACAGCGTTGATTCACATATGATTAACACATGTTATTAAATAAAAAATTTAAGGAAGTTTCAAATTTAAAGTATAACATTTTATATTTTTTTACAAGGATGCATGATCAAGGGAAATAAAAAATTGAGTGTTGTCCAGAAAATATTAATTCTTAAACATAACTTTTTTAGTTGCTCTATATTGAACCCCTACGTTAAGATTAATTAACTAAAATTAGTGCATGTCCCTACGAGCGTACGTGCTTATTGTCACGGGCGACTTTCCAGCCATGCCCCATTACCCCTTGGGCGCGCCCCGTGGCGTCCTAGCAAGTCTCCCAATGCCTAGCGCCACGAACGGCCCTGTGGTCTTGGTCGCGCCAAGTGACAAGCGCGTATGTGCCTCTATCGCCCCACCGATATCCCTCGCCAGCACCCAGCCGCAGGCATATGCCAATAGCGCCGCGCGCGCCGACCGTGATGCCAAAGATGCTGCTGCTGACAACAGACCTCTTTCTGCCTTGTAGAAAACTAAATCTTTTTCATTGTAAATATAGAGTAGTTTTATTTCATGTACTTCCA